GTCGGCGGGTGGTGAGCAATTGCCCTGCGCATCATTTGTACATTTCAATCCTTTTATTACTACTGTTGTCATTTTATTAGTGTTATCATTATCATTATTAGTTTCTTCTTTTCTGTTCTATTAAATCGTTCTTATCTCAACCCAGGAGTTTTACTTCTTTTCCTGATTTTCTCCCCCCTCCCACTGGATGGGGGGGAGGGAGTGAGCGGCTGGGTGGTGCTTAGTTGCTGGCTGGGGTTAAACCACGACACCCTTAGACTGGAAACCAGAAGTTTTATAACCATTACAGAAACCAGGCACCAGGGCAGCTTTCTAACTGGAAGAGCAAAGACAAAAAAGTTAACTTTTTAAGCCGGAGTTTGACAAGTTTCTGAAGAGGATTATAGATATTTTCCTATGAGAAAGTGGCACTAGAGCTGACAATTGAAGAGATCCTTCCAGTCCTATGCTCTTATTTCCTTCAAAGGAGTCTTGATGTCTTTGCCATGGTGATATTTACAAAACAAAGCTAGAGAAAATCAACTCAGTGGTTTTTAAGCATTACAAATATCTGAAACCTCCAAGCTTTGAAAAGCATGCACTCCATTAGCTGAGGAATGAGACTCTCTAGTGTGAACCGATATACTTATGGAAATGTTCTGGTTTCATACATCTTTAAAATGCAGTTCTCAAGAAATCATTGAGCAAATTCATTTAAACAATGATTGATTAACCAATCTAAATATGCAACACCTAATGATGATTACATATCAAAGTCAAGTCCCAGACTTCAGGTCTTTTGCCATGAGAAAAAAAGCCTTATTAACTTTCAAATAGTATATTCTTCCTATCCACCCCCTTAAATTCAAACACAGAAGGGATTTTGTTCAAACTTTCAGAAAAAACCCAACCCACAATTGGATAAAGACCAGACATAGTCCAAAAGCTTAATGTTTCAGAAAGTAAGGAGTACATGGAAAGAAGGCATTAATGGAAACTGGTTTGGAACTCTAAGTACAGAGGATGATATCTAGTGACTGCTATAATACTGAATCTGCACTGCCATTAAACTTAATCTTCGATATTTTTATTGCAACCTGACCCACTATGACATCTCTAAAGAAAATTACATTGTATGCTACTATTTCAAGAAGTCAAACTTAGCTAGTCATCTGGGCCATAAAATAGCAGATTACTCCATCAGGCTGGCTAAAGCAACTAGGAATAAAAACTAGATTTACCAACCACATTATTTTTATTAGGAAATGTTTCAAAGTAGACATAATCCCAAAAGACCTTAGCCTCATTCCATCCAAAAATACACAACAGAGAGCAGCAACAACATGAACTGCAGTATGAGGTACAATTTGTAAATGTGAGAAAAAAAATACAAGATGTGCTGTAATATATCATCCTATCAAAGCAAAATAAATTAACTGAACATAGAAATAGAAAAGAATAAAAACTTCTACGCGATTCATGTATTAACAATTTAAACCTTTGTTATAAGATCTGACATGTGTTAATAGGAATTGCTCCATCGAATCCCTGCACATCAAGATTTAGTCTGCACTCGTTTTGCTTTCTTTGAAATTGCAGGCTAATATAGGTGTACTAAATCACAGCTAGAGAGTAAAACCTCTAGAATGGGCAAAAGGAAAAAACAGTATCTTTAACAAAAATATTCCTGAAGAACTCTGGTATGTTAGCACTACATGCATTTTATTTTGGATCATAGCCACAGAACAGCTAAAGCACTCCTTCTTCTGTAATCATTCTAAATGCGGGGAACTGCTCATAATTCTAACAGAAAAACAACAAATTTACTTGGCAATCTTAACACTTCTCAGTAATTCCTTGTACCGTCATGTTCTCTAACAGGTATTCATGCATACATAATATATAGGTCTTTGTAGATCTGGAATGAAGGAGAAGTAAGGGATTTGATAGCTGGAAAGGCAAAGTTTTAAATTTTAAATAGTGCCAAAGTAGGTTAGATGTATGATGTGTGTTTTATCATCTAACCAAGCATTCATGTCTTTCAGTTTTAACCTTTTTTTTCTAGGCAATATGGTCACCTCAGGCAGTTTGGTTTAAAGGCTTTACCCAATCTAAAAATATATTTAAATTAGCCAGGCATTTGTTATTATTATTTTTTTAAGACTTAAATGCTGTATTTTTCAAAGGTGGTTCTATTATGCTAGCTGCATCAAACACAGAATATTAATCAGACTGTGAAGCTCTACTAATTACGTGCCATATTTAAGTAACTGAAATTTTCTTAAGTGGCATGGCCACAGATATTGTATGCATAATCTGAGTTTTGAGTCATTTCCCTTTTCTTGTCTGATTTTATTCTACACAGGAAATGACAGGGTCATTTGGAAATAACTGCAGTGAGAGATCAAAAAGGAAACCTGATTGAGAACACTGTATAATTGCCTGTGCTAGAGAAAAAATAAAATCCAATGAGTTTACAATCCATTGCCATAAGATTTCTCTGGAAAACAGATACTGCGGTTTCTCTAAAAGGATATCCATTACAACACTAAGCACTGCTTTTATTTGTTGTAGCTGCATCTCATTTTAAAAAGCAAGTCTTCTCATTAGGCTATTGGACTTTTATTCAGTAGGTAATACTTTCGGCACATGTGGAGCACAAATTTACCCACTGAGCTAAAGCAAGCCATTGCAGTCGAAGCAAATAATTTCAGTTGAAGCAAGTCATTTCACTGACTCATCTCAAAGTCTTCACTTGCAAAAGGAGATAATACTGTAATTAATCTTTTGGAACACCATGGTTCTTGTTATTTGGGCAAATCTGGCCATTAAAATTTACAATTCCCCCTTGCAAAAGAGCAGACTTTTATTGCTGGAGCTAAAAGAAAACTTTTTAGACATTAGCAGCACTCAGCTTAGAGTAAGGATCACATCCAGCTGTGGGCCACGGTGTGTCTATGTGGGGGGGGTTTGTTTGTTTGTTTGGGTTTTTTTGGTAAGACATCAATCTACCTAGCAAGACAGCAGTCAGCCTTTCAGCACGCAGATTTCCCAGCCAGTCTCCTGCCTCCTCTGTTCCTTGAGCAGATGCACTGCAGAGCGCATGACTCCAGGCATGCTCCTGCCATAGCCATGCACACCAAACCACATCAGCCCCACTAACTTGTCAGGGTTTGAGGTGTTCATCTAAGGGACTGCAAACATTGAAGGTAGCGCTCTCCTTTATGGATAAGCATTTCTAAATATAACAAAGTTGTAGCAAAAGAACTTAAAGACTATCTTGGGTTCACCTCATCACATTTTAACACATAAAGCAAGTGCAAATAATGCCATAAATTTGTATGTGTAGCTTCAATGCCTTAAACTGTTACTTATTGAAGAACAATGTATCACCCTATCAAACTAAACTCTACAGGAATATAATAAGTATTGATTTTCTTGGGCATTGCAGTGCTGTTGGACAAATTAAAGACTCTCAGCCATGGAACTCAGAATACAAAACAGATGGATTAAACTGAACTGGTGCAGAAGTCAGAAATGGCCGTAAAAGAGTCATGGCTAAAAATTGTCATGAAGGTTTTTGTGACAGTTATAATTACCGATTGCGCTTGTTCCTTTGATGGATCGTCACCGAAGTAATTCACAGAAACACACGTGAAACAGAAAATTTGTGCCATTCCCTAGGGGAGGTGGTACCTTCAGCAGAGGCGGTACTCCCCAGCAGACAGACTGTGCAGAGCAACCACTCTTCTGTGGCTGGGACAGCGTACACAGATCTCAGCCATCCAGAAATGGGTTTTAAGAAAACACAAAGACATTTCTTTTAAGCTAGTCTACAACTGATAAGACACATTACCCAGATTTACACAAGAAATTACTTAATCAAAGCCTCATTAAAAATAACTTTACCAATTAGAAAGTGCTAACCAGCCATTGATCTGATTAGCCAATAAAAAACCAACCCTAACACAGTAACGCTGAAGCCCTGCTCTACTTACATAACAACAGTTTTGTCACTGATTTCATCATAGTTGGAATTCTTACCCACCTTAGGAATGACACCTTAGAAATTACGAGAATAATTTCCAAATATTTGCATCCATGTCAAGAAAAGTCCTTCTTTTTTATAATATGGCTATTTAAAAGCAACACGGAAAGAAATTATCCCACATCATTTACAGAGTCAAGCCACCAGCTTAAAGCATAAAGAAAATTCTCCAGTGCATTAATTTTAACTTCGCTGTGTACTGATAAGCTAAAATATAAGTGGATCAAAAAAATTCCACTACCGTGCCTCTCTGAGCAACCAGTTGTCTCCTAATATAAATTATAAATGTAAATCCTTTTCAATGTATTGTAACATATATCCTCAAAATGCACAGCGAGGCTAAAGGAAGGTTTATTTGATGAATTGAATCTGTCCATTTGATTAAAGGCCACATCCTGCATCAATGCATTTTCCCATATATTTTTTCACATGTAAGTTAGAATACATGACAAAGTTTACAGTCAAGCCAATTCACTATTATTAACCGAATGCTTTCAAAATGCTGAATTTCTAGCTAGCTTGTTTCTTTATAGTCAGTATAATTAACTGTTGGTGGCTACAGCAGAAACAAAACTCTGTACAGACACATGCATACATAAATATGAGGTCTGTGGTCAGACTAGGCTTAGCACACAGCCTTTTCTAATTTTGATTGCTGATTTTAAAATAGAGTCAGATTCATGCATTGCTAATTCAAATTACATGCATCAATTTATAAATACATACACAAAAGTGTTCCTGATTTAAGACAACTAACATCTTAACCAAGCAATGCATTTACACTTTTTTGAAATCCAAAATTAATTTTGAATATGAGGATCAAAACATCTAACTTGTATTCTTTAATCAGCCATTTTACGTTAGTAATGCAGTGATGTTGACATGAAGTTGCTTTGAGCAATATAAAACATATGCCACAGTGCATTCATTAAATAACTCTGCATAATGAGTTCCATCTATATAAATGACTTACCTCATTACTTATCACAAGTTCTTCTCTAGGACTGTGGAAGAGGTATTCATATAGTTTATAGTGTTTAAATAAGCTGGAAAACAACAGAATATAGTACTGTTACAGCTGCAAATCTTTGGAAAGGCAACAGTATTTAAAATTCTGTTAAACTAAGAGTTACTCTCCAGCACAGTAATACTCCAAGTTTTAAAAAGAAACAGTTGTTTAACTTTAGGTACAACGTGCAGGATATTTAATTTACAGGATTTACTATCAGATAACCATAGAAAATACAGTATGATGCTTAAAAATACATCCACTTTGTCCTTATGAAATTGAACCCTGAGAAGACAAAGTTCTACTCTGAAAAAAGTAATTCCTGAAACACTTATCACCAGGATACTTATGCCTTTAATACAAGCAGTGGTGGACAAGAAGAAAACAAAGCCAAATCAGCTTTCAGATTCTGGGATGGGCTGCCAGTCCAGGGAGCAAGTTTGATCTTGGAACACCAAAACAATAAAGAATAGAAGCATTTATTCTCTCAAGGTCATGTTTCAAAATCAGGGTATTATTTCCTTAAAGAAAAACTAAAAAGCTAGATTGGCACACTGGAGTTTTGTGTGTTACAACAAAAGTAACTTTAAGCAGACTGTCTCAATGGCCTACAATATTTATCTTCCTTAAAACATATATAGCTTTCCTTTTCACATGTTTTAAATAATTTTCCTTGTTCCCTTTCCTAATGATCAATGATATGGCATTTGTTTAATCAAAGGTTTGGTTTGTCACAGTCCATCTGTTACAATTATTTGTTCTCTTAAAATCATGATACAGAACTTCTGGCTTCTGTCATGTCATTCTGACATCTGATTTAGAACACAGCTCTGTAATTTCATAGCAAGTCCTGGTTGAAGAATGATTCCAGGAGTTTATCACACTACTGCCTGATGTACCCATGAAAGATACAGCAATATTTGCAGGGAACATCTGTAACTGGTTCCTGTGCTTTCCGGCTAAGGACAGGACACAGGTTCCTTTCTTAAGAGAGCCATCAACTGGGATGGCAATGCCTCTTTGCTTGGCACTTGCAAGGCCACATCTGGAATACTGAGGCCTGCTGCGAGGAGGGCTTTGGACTAGGCGGCCTCCAGAAGTCCCTTCCAACCTCGACGTTTCTACGGGTCTATGAAAGTGACTACTACACCCAACATATGCAATTACCTAGCTAACGCTAAAGACACTGCTAGTAGCTGCAGGATCTCATGCCGGTGCTATGAAAGGGCGTTTACAACACCAGTGCCTGGCCACACAACCCAACACAGGCTGCTCTTCACCACGTAGCGCTCCCTGAGGCTGTTGGAGAGCCAGCCCCCGCCGGTGCCACCCTAGCTGGCTGGCTGCCCCACAGCCCTCAGGCTTTTCTCCCACCCGGCAGCCTCGCATCCCGGCAGGAGGGCTCGACCAGCCAGCTGCCTGCAAAGCGAGGTGGGACGTAGGTGTCTGAAATGCAGTCCCGGCTCTGGGAGGTAAGAAGGAAGCCAGCTGTGAGAGTCGGTACTCGGTACGCACTATGTCAGCCGACTGTCCTTCCCTGAATCACCACCGATACTCACACGCTGCCACAGGCGACTGCCACAGTACCAGAGGTTCCGGGAAATACTGCAGGCTGGAGATGATTTGCTCTTAATTTCAGCAGTGCTGAAGTGCTGATTAATGTACAGCAGTGGTTCTTCCAGCTCATGAAAGCAGCTCGGAATTAGGAGAATAAAATGGTGGCATGGCCTGCCTCTCTTACAAGACAACAGTACATCTTCCAGCAGTTAGTCAATGCACCTGCGACACTTTCAAATCCATTTTACCTGAATAGGTGCAGACGTTTTTGTACATATGTACAGACGCATTTCCTAATTTGGTGAGAAGTATTATGGCAGCCTCACTGAACATTTGGCTCTTTAAGCGCCATATAAAAGTTTTATTCTACTGTTACATTTAATTCAGTCATTCAATTACCCTTAGTTAAAAAACAAATTTGTTTACCAACTTGCATAAGAAATTTGGCTACTATAAACTACAAGTTGCCTTCCTCCAAACCCAAAGCACACAGGCAATTAAGTTGTTACAAGATTTGCCATTTCATTTGCAGTACATTTTTATTGCAGTACTTCACCAAACAATTCCTGCCACATTTCAGTGAAGATATAAGAATTATGTTTAAGCAGACTTCTGGACTAAACCTGGAAATTACTCACACTAATTTATGAAAATACACATGTCCCCTCACATACACACCTGCTATTTGGTAAAATCCTAACAGGGACTATTTGAAAAAGACAAAAAATATTTTATGAACATCACAGACACACAAGAAATAAGATGCGTATCTTTCAGACTGCACTGGCAGAAATTAACATTTCAAACTTTCTTATTTTATTTATTCCAGTGACTTGGAAATGAGCCAGATTTACAGCACCTGAATAACAGTTCTTTCCCTTCCCCTCTAAATGTGTTATGATATTCTTTACGGACTGTGTTACAGGTACAGATAATTTATAATATTCCCAAAAATATAAGTCATTACTTCTGGCATTTCTGAATTTTATTTATTTATTTATTTTAAAACAGAACTCTATTCAGCCTGGCACCCTTAATCCTGTATCAAGGAAATAATTCCTCCATTTAATGCTCTTTAAATCAAATCACGTAAATTATACATCAGTATTTATTTTGAAACAGCAGTGTAGTTTTCTTTCTTCCATCAAGCATTATATAAAATGCTTTTTTGTTTGTTTCTGTCATGAATAATTAAAAAACTCCATACCAGCATTTTTAGCAATGACACAAAAATAATTTTACTCATGCAAGTCAGATTGTTAAGAACAGACCCTCGTATGATGTCATATGAGAATCTGAGGGTGATTGACAATGACATATTTCCCTAGCTCCACTGTTTCCTGAAAGAAAATGTCAAGAGCTATGTTGATGTGTGTTTGCCCAAGGAGACAAGATAAAAAGATGATAACTGTCACCTTCCACCAAATCTGAAGGTGTCATTACAGTTACTGCACAGTTTGTGCCAATGTGGTTCAGCATTTGTCCCCATTTCCTTTATAAATCCCATGGGTTTATAGCTTATCTGTAAGAATGTGACCTGAACTAAAACATGTCATACTATCTTGAGTAGAAAAAAAAAAGCTATAGACCTATCATTTAAAATTAAACAGAAGTGAAGAACAAGAAAAAATGTTCAAGTAATACATTAATTTGAATTGTAATAAAACTCAGTCAACCTATTTCTGAGTTCATAAAGTTCAAAATACACCCACATAAGTGTGCTGATTCAGTTCTTATTTAGAAAAAATATTCAAATGACTGAAATAATGGATTGTATAAACTGGACACATATGACCAGTGTATGTGTAATATGTCCATGACCTTGCAACAGCACATACTTGTAATAAATTGAGCAGTTTGAACACACAACCACATATTTGGTGGCCAAAATACCATTCTGCTGCAAAAGTATTTTGGCTTGATTGTATTCCCACCCAGTTAATACTTCAGTGGTAGTAGGATGGAGCACCTAATCTCTTGGATGAAATTCTTGCGACTATGAAGGAATTACTTCATGAACAAGATATCTCTCAATGGATAATTTACACAAGGGCTATAGACATGCTATTTGGAAAGAACATTTGTTCCAAATAAATATACAAAAGGCACAGACAGGAAGGGAGAAGTAAAAGAAGTTGAGTGAGACATCTTACATGCCAAGTTTCCTTTTAGTTTAGGGCTAGTACTTGGCAGGACATTGGTTTGCCTTGACTACAGAAATGTGAGCTTTAAAGAGATGTTCTCATTTCATATGGGAAGAACCTGAAGTTTTTTATATTTTCCATGAAAAAGGAACAAAAGAAAAAAATCAGAGACCAGGAGAGAGAGACAAACTTTATAGCCCAATTGTAAGAGAAATCACCTGTGGTGGGTTTAAATCCCCAGTCTGAAACCGAGTACCCTAAATTGGAAGGCTATCAGCTATCCTAGTATTTTTGTCTGTCTTCAAGAGGAAATACTGTTCTGCATCCAGGAAAGCTTTCTAACAACACCTCTTTGTTGTGTTAAACTTTTCCTAGCACAAGAACAGTCAGAAAATTCCCAACAGTTCTATGTATGGACCAGTCATGACCTTACTCAATTTTTATGCCCATCTGCCACAAAATCTCTTCCTCTAACCACCATTCAGGTTAGAAAACAGGCTGAAGGGCTACAGATGTAGTACAGTATATGAGCATATATTACCGTAGTACCTTTTCCATTCTCCATCTCCTTGCCCCCAACATTCATGGATGATACAACAGCCTGAGAACCATTTTGTCTATCTTGTATTGGAAACAGTGGTATATGAGTATAGCCACTGTCTTAACTACGGCATTTCAGTGGAGAAAGGTCTGTATACGTTACTGTATAGTTAAGACTTTACATGGGGAGGTGTGATTGGCTGCTATCAGACCCTTAATTTTTTTCTCAGATAAATAACTGAATTACTGCTGTTTGTATTTCTTTCTGTGTCTCTGTTTAAAAGCTGAGACCTGTCACGAAACCTTCTCATGTAGATACTGAACTTTTGCTAACTTTGAAATGCAACATTTTTATGACTCATTGTATGACCATAGCCTTAATTCTGTAAAGTACATAACTTTAAACCACTTAGGAAGTCCATTACAGCTGTCAAGGCCAGAGAAATACTTATAGACAAGACCTAGGATTTTGTTCAGCTGGAATCTAAAAGTAGAATGTTTTAAAAGCAAACCAAAAATATTCTCTATACACCACTCTCCCCTTTTCCTTTTATCTTCAAAAACAAAACCCAGAATGAAGCTTTTGAGCATAATCTTACATTTTGATAAAATTCCAGTCTAATTTTATTTCCTGGGATTTGACATCTGAGGCCAGATCTTTACTGCTACTCGCATATTCTCTCTTCTTTTTAATGTTTTAAAGTTTGGTGTGTGCAGTATGTTGGTACAGTATGAACATATCCAATTAAATAATTTTAACTTATTTTATCAGCCAATTACCCACCACATTAAATTATTCAAATAAGAAATAATGGATCCTATAGAAATAAATACCTGATATTCAAGTAATCAATGACTGTTTTGGCTTGCTCAATGCTGAAGAAATTCAAGTCACCAGTTCTTTCTGAAGCAGTTTCTCCTATTCCAGCCATTGCTTTTCCAAGTTCTTTTAAATTATCTCCTAAGGTCATATGTTTGTCTGCAAAGTAATCCCGAAGAACAAAAACTAAGTATAAACATGACAGGGTGGGTTGGGGTTTTTTGGCCCATTTTAATTATAAGACTTCTTGAAGTTTAAGAAGTTATGAGCCATGTAGAAACTTAAAAAGCAACAGCAGTCAAACATTTTTGTCTGTTGCCATTATTCTTATCAATAAAATGTACATTAAAATTCCACCACGAAAATCACCGATCCACCTTCATAATGTAAGGATCACAATAACGGGTGTTTAAGATACTACAGCTTTGCCTCGTACTTATGCAGAGATAACCACAGGCAGAATAGTATGTAGTTTTGAGATGCATAGTATGTTTATCTTTAAAATAAATTTACTACTGTTTATGTATTGTAAAAGATTGTTCTTCTGATCATGCCCCTTGCACCATAAACCATTAATATAGGAACAGATACTAAAAAGGGTAACAAATTTAATAGGTTTTTTTTAAGTGCTTACAGTTATAATTGATTAAACATGAATTATGCATAATACTCTGCATGTATCATCAAACCTGGAGACATTTTTGCACCCCTCCAAAATAGATAATTACTTTACATTTTTACCCTGGAAATCAAAACCAAATGCCAAAACAGCTTTGAATTAAAACTTAAATTCTTTTTGTTAACTGTCTTGACAAAGAGGAAAATCTGAAATATATCAGTTTGCTGAATCTTTAAAAAGAAAGAATTCATGTTTCTGATTTTTGTACAGTGTATGCCATCACTAGAACCATGGTGGAGTTTAAAAAAAGTTTCGAACACAATTTACTTGGTCTTTTTAAGTCTAAAAAATCTAGAGGAGAAAATGGGGAAAAATCCACCAGTAGTGAAATAGATTTATTTTCCATATTGTTTTAATTCTCTACTGATCTGCTCCTTGCTTCTTCGTATAGAAAACAAATTAAAAAAAAACTTAGAAGATTCTGGGCTTTATAGTTTTGCCCTTCAGTGGTATGGCAATAAAAACCCTGAAAATTTCACCTCATTTTTCAGTAACAGAGGCAGCACAATATAAATAACTGTAATCGAAGAAACAAGAAAGAAATACAGAGACTATGTAGGAAATAGAAGCCATGGGAAATGAGAAGGAGTAGTAGAACTAGAAATATCACAGTTAGTAGTGAAGTAAAGCCACACAACAAGATCATGAGAAGTCACAAAACCCAGGCCCAGGCCTGTTGCCAGCTAGTCCAAATTTTCTCTTTCCTCTGCACACCTGATTTTCAGCCCCAACTACCTCTCTCAGGAAGGCTCTCACTGTACTTCTGTGAGGTAAGCAGCACTTTACCCTCAATGTATAGAAGATGAATCAAATCATGTTAAGTAATTCATTCTGGCTCCAAAACAACCAAAGCCTCCAGTTTCCAAATCTCAGTTTTCCTCTCTCCTTTACCAGCCTTAAATGAGTTTCCACTACTCTCCTTCTCTAAATCCATTCTTCCTGCTCCATGCTATTCTTGCTATTATGGTCAAATCAGCTTAATTCTCCAGGCCGCTTGGGTCCAGTGTAGGGAAGGGAAAGCAAATGGTCATTAATATAGAAGACATTAGCATTTTGCTCTTAGCTGAAATATTTGGTCTTGGAACTTGCACCAGCTGAGAACAGTAATTACAAGGAAATTCATCTCAGCCCTGGGCTACAGCTTACTTTATAAGATGGATTATTTGGGAAACTTAGCTGTGAAGAAAATATAAGAAGTCTCCTGTAAGCATTTACAAACTACATTTTCTTTCCCTAAAAGCCATGTGTCTTAGCCAAATCCGAATGCATTTTCACAGACAGCAAAAAGCAAATTCACAACACTTGCTTGCCAAACCTTATGTCCTTATTTCAAAGCACAGGGGTATTAGAGCTGTTGGGAAAAAAAAAAAAAAAAGGCACAAAATAATACTTTTTTTTTCCCCACAGCCTCTGTCTGCAAGCCCATTGAACTGTTTTAATTGTAATTTTACATATAAAAATTAATCAGAGGCAGACACTGCCATGGAAAATTTCAGCTTAAAGAGTTAAAGTTTGGCAAAGCTTTATGCAACTAAGATCACATTCCTGAAAAACGTCAGACAGCTTTAATAATCAGTTGTGCTACCAGCCTGTCTAGTATACACGCATTACATACAGTCTCATAAAACTAATTTCTGACAGGTTTCCATTCTTCTCCATTGTTACATTAATAAAGTTAGCATATGTTAAGATACTTTCTCATTGGAGACAGGAAGGACAACTGGAATTCCAACGATCATAAAGCACGTACATATTCTGTCAAAATTCCAAGTCAGAAAGGCCCTTGAATTAAATTACAATGGAAGAGTATAATAACTAATATGAGCTCGATTTTAAATATTCATCTTCTCCTTTGAATGGAACTGCTGAGTCCTTTCGCTCTTCCTCTGGGATGGACTTTTCTCGACATAATCACCTTCAAAGTGAATGTTAAGTAAGCATTGTGGTCTCTGAAAAAAGGGTTTTAGAGGATGCTGCTACCATTTTTTCTGGCTATTTTGTTCCCACAAGACCCAAGCTACGCGTTTTGTTGCAAATTTCCTCATAGCCGCAGGAGCTACAGTCCTTTCATTGTCATTTTTCATCTTCAGCAGTGATGCCAGTTTACTTCCCTCACCAGTCTTTAGTTAACTGATACATTTTGTGCCAGAAGTGCAGCATTTGCCATATAGAAAGCTGCCTGAGAGTTGACCTCCAAGGATAAAATAAATGTAATTCACCTGCTGTAATGCTACAGGATGTACTGAATATCTCAAACAGCAGAGAAATGTGCCCAAGGCTACAGTGAGTCAGTCACTGAGACAGCTGGAATTGGAGTTTAGGAGCTCCTTGCTCTCACTCTACTGTAATTATTTATTTTACCAAAGCAAAGAAGAGGTCTCTTCAGGACCTGGCCCTTTTGTACCACATACTGTACAAACAAAGATTGAGGGATATTCTGCTAAAAAGACTACAGTTCTCTAACAAAAGTTTAATATCTGCCAATAAGATTTATTTTCAGGTACAAGGTATAACATGCCAACATTCAAGAGGAAAATAAATAATTTTACAATTACTTGTAATTAAATACCGCTTTATTAAAATGACTGGAAAACATTCTTGCCTTCCACTTCAGATATTTATTTTAGAATGTTTAATTATTCTTACCACTGAGGTTCTCCAACAGGAAATTTAATAGATCCATGAATCCTGAGAGCTGTATAAGACTGAAGTTCATTTCTTTAGCCCACCAAAACCCCGCAGTATAATAATCTAGCAAAATAGCTTCTTTCAAAGATGTCTTTAATTGTTTAAAATTCAGAAATTCTTCCAGCTTTCTAGAAGAAATTGCAGAGTAAAATAATTAAATTAAAAAAATAAATTACACATTCCAAAGTTTAACTTAAGTCTGCTTGTAATTATATCTATATTTACTATTACTATATTTTATGTATATTTACATATCTTCCTGCAACTTAGCTATACCAATTTCTAGATATGAATGTTTATGATCAGAGGATATATCAGATGAAAAAAGTAAACAAACACCTACAGGTTTCAACAGACACTACTTAAATGTTAAGATATGATTAATGAAATAACAAAAATAAGAGCATTACAAAAACCAAAGAGAAATACACTGAAAATCCCAGAGACAAATCAGTGTTCAGGAAGGGGTTTGTAGGATGAAAATGAACAATTAGTCTCCACTTTCCACTACCACTCTTTCACTCTCATTGAGATAGTTTTACAGTACTAAAAAGATCTTGCTTCCCTTTCAAGATTATTTTTCATGTAGCCTCTGAAGAAAAATTATATTTGAAAATTAATGTAAATAGTATAATATAAAATTACTGAAAGTACTTAAAATATTTAGAAGTTTAAGTTCCACTTTCATAATGGTCAAGACACTTAAGAAGAGCCTCATCCTATTTTACAGGCACACTGTGGAAATTTTTCCACTTACTTTAACTTGAAAAATTAATGAAAAAATACACTCCCTTGTAGGACACCATGCTGTTGCTGACACATTTATGCCTACTCTATCCAAACACAGAATAAGTTATATCTTTTATAATAATTGTGTGCATTTTTCCACATGAAGAAAGAGGAACAGGGCTAGGACTTCAGTTTGCAGTTCTTCCAGTATAACTTCAGCCATGTCTCAGATAGTTAAGTTTTACATTAAAGCAATCCTTGGCTTCTTAACTATACCTGACGACACAGGTGCCAGTTGTGACCACAGTTTCTAATCCCCTGTAAAGGAGCAGAGTCTTTCCCCCCTCCCCACATCTCATTCCTTCCTAAGAAGGGCATCAATCTCAGACCTACTGATAGGCAGCCATTAGTTTTTCAGGGGTTTCCCCAAGCCAGTAGAGATACACTGTCAAATAAGTGGAGTTTCTTCTTTTTAATTAAAGCTTCAATAGCTAACAAAGTAAAGCATATAATCCAATCAGTTTTGTTTTAAACATGTATTCCTTTGTTCTGCATGACAGATTTGTAAGGCTGCACACATGCAAGTCGGTTAAAAACACTTAACTGTGTACTGAAATAGAAGTGGAACATGGCCAGCTGAACTTTCCAAGGTTTGAAACAGTGCATATCCTCTCTTTCTGAAGCTTCTGCCAACTCTGTGTTTTCATAATCAGAGCTTCTCAGGGATTTAGATTTTCTCTGATGCTTCTAACAATGCCAGTACTCACTCATCTTTTCAATATTTTGTAAGGCATGTCACTGACAACAGTATCCATAAATGACTGGGAAATGATGGGGCATTTAGACTTCCTAGTTACCCTGATTGCTATTTCTTCCTTCACAGAAGGTTCTCAAGTCCTATAGAGAGAGACATAAACCTCCATGATAGGTGGGAAAGCAGGACATGAAAATTCTCATACCGAATCAGATCTGTTCTGATTTTCTAACCCTAGCTGTGGCCTTCAAACTGCTCTTGTGTATAGACATGATGCACTGTGGTAAACTAACAAAATTTCCATGCTGCTGCTAAACTGCTTAGAGTGCATAAAATACCCTGTAACTATCCTCTTTCCAGTCAGATGCAGTATATACTTTATGTTCCACTTGTACAGTGTATATATATATATAAAAATACATGTGATCAGCTGAGATTAAGAAGACATGTACAATCTTCCAATGCTTTTCTTTTTAATCTTAATGAGAAAGTTTCACAATAAGTTACATCATTAAGCACATTTTAGTCTCCAGTGAGTTGTATGCTTCAGTCTCCTCTAAAATAAGAGGCCTATTGTGCAAGAGAAAACTGTAAATGAAAGAATTTTTTTTTTTTTATAATTCGATGGGAACAAATTTTCTTTCCAGTTTTCTTAAAAAAGAAATATATATATATATATATCCCAGAATTAACTTTTTTCCCTCAGAACAGTGACAAATAGGAGGAACAGAATATATTTCAGGAATAATATTTTAATCTCTATTAAATGGTTTATGTATTCAGAAGGATGAAGTTGGATTTTTTATTCCACTCCCCCCCCCCCCCCAAACTAGTCCAGTGGTCAGCCGTTTGGCTTTCAATTCTTTAAGAATTTGCTAGTGGACACAAATGCTCCTAAATAATTCGGGCACTTCTGAAAAATCCCATCCTTAAAATATAAGTCTAGAGTCTCAAGTTGAACTCCTGGCCTCCTAAATTTAGCTGCTATTAAGCACTAATAACAAGGGACAGTGTTGCTACAGGAAAGACAAGATGGGCTTACATCAGAAGTCTCTGGCTGCCTCCTATTTCCCCAGTGCACCACAATGGCTAACTACTAATAACTTCTTAAGCTTTCCATCCTTTTCTGAACTTTTAAAACCTTTCTGATTTTTCAATAGCTCATGTTACAGTACAGAATCTTAAATGTTTTAGAAAAGAAGTTACCAAGTGAGACTTATAAAAAAAGCTCAGCATTGGCCTGGTTTTTTTACATCTTACTCTTTCATTTACAGCGTAATCAATATTATTGTAAGTCAAAAACTGTATCAGTGTGAAATAATAGTGGGGAAAAAAAAGAGTCAAAGAAAAATCAAGAGATATAGGAAATACAGTAAAACAAAGTGGGTCTGAGATCAACAGTATTTCTTCCTATCTTTCATGAATCATTAAATATTAGTGATTTAACTGAACAATTAAAGACTAATGATGTAACCATCACAAAAGAAATCTAACAAATAGTCTATAATTTTTATTTCATTATTGTATTGGTTCTAGCATTGTTATCATTGCCACTTACTTTTGAACTCCTTCTAGATTTTGTTCTGACAAAGCAGTAATTTGGGAAAGAGAAAGAAACGTCCGATTAATAATCTTCTTTCCAACTATGGCATCCTGATCTTGGTCTTCTTCCTATACACACATATATAGCAATACAATTTTAAAAGGTTTATTTTATTATGTCAGTAACTTATCTAAATAACATTTTTATTTTGAGAGAGTATGCAAGGGATAAATTCAACAATGCCAAAAATGTAACACAGCTATAATTATATGGCAGTAACACAATACCCTAACACATTTTCACTAGAGAAAAGCTAGGCAGATACATGGAAAATAGTATTTTTATCTTAAATTCATGTGGGAACATAGTGACATACCATGTGCAGCACAAGATTAAATTAACTTGCAAGTAAGAACAATAGAAATGTAAAGATGCAAAAAATCCATGAATCTAGATTTGACCAACGTGATACTATATTGCACAGTAATTAAATTTTTAAATCAGTTTCTGCTTAAGATATTATGAGTATACATACACATTACCGTGCTATTTGCTCTTCACCCTGTACTTGATTGCATTTTCAAATTTACTGTCTACACTGACTCCTTCCCTAACCAAAAAAAAAGTCCAAGACGTTTGCTGCAACGCAGTGATACATGTACAAGGATCTGATACTACTGTTTCAGGGAAGGTCAGTATATTTCTAATACAGAAAACAGTTCTTTATAGGAAATACAAGGATGTACATGTTATAAGGGATAACAAACTGAGCATGAATCAACAATGCAACGGTCTTACAAAAAATAGGAACATTTGATGATATTTTATTTAGTGTGTGTCACTGATCAAAAACATTTGACCAGAGACTTCAGTAAGAAATCTATGAAATAAATAAAACAGTAGAAGAAAAACCTGTTTTCCAACAGAATATGTAGGCGACAAGGTGAGGTGTCAAAGCACATTATAAAATGTGAGATGAGGCAGACTCTTTACAGAGGTCCATGGCACGGGAGCAAGGGACAATGGTCATAGAATAGAACAGAATAGAATAGAATATTTCAGTTAGAAGGGATCTAGGCTATATTATCATGGGACAGCATAAATAAAAATATTTCAATATGAATCATAGAATCATATCATAGAATGGTTTGGGTTGCAAAGGACCTTAAAGATCATCTAGTTCGAACCCCCCACCACGGGCAGGGACACCTTCCACTAGACCAGGTTGCTCAAAGCCCCATCCAACCTGGCCTTGAACGCTTCCAGGGAGGGGGCAGCCACAACCTCTCTGGGCAACCTGTGCCAGTGCCTCACCACCCTCACAGCGAAGAACTTCTGCCTCATATCTAACCTAAATCTACCCTCTTGCAGTTTAAAGCCATTAGCCCTTGTCCTAGCACTACATGCCCTTGTAGAAAGTCCCTCTCTGGCTTTCCTCTAGGCCCCCTTTAGGTACTGGAAGGCTGCTATAAGGTCTCCCTGGAGCCTTCTCTTCTCCACGTTGAACAACCCCAACTCTCTCAGCCTGTCTTCATAGGAGAGGTGCTCCAGCCCTCTGACCATCTTTGTGCCCTCCTCTGGACTCGCTCCAACAGCTCCATGTCTTCCTTATGTTGGGGGCCCCAGAGCTGGACGCAGTACTCCAGGTGGGGGCTCACGAGAGTGGAGTAGAATGGGGGGAATCACCTCCCTCAACCTGCTGGTCGTGTGTCTTTTGATGCAGCCCAGGATATGGTGATAATCAGGCATTAGAATAGGTTACCGAGAAAGGTGCAAGAATCTCCATCCTTGCATGTTTTCAAGACTGAACTGGACAAAGTCCTGATCTGCATTCAGTGCTGACCCAGCTCTGAGCAGGCAGCTGAACCAGCTCACATCCCAAAGATCCCTTCCAGCCTCATGACTGAGAGTCTAAATTGGCCTGATCTGCTTCTATACCAGGACACAAAAACCTGATCATAATTTACTCGTAGCAGGTACACTTCTACATCTGTGGAACTTGGGCTTTACAGAAGCGCAGCAAGGCAAAGCTTGCAGAATAATGTTACTAGCTCACCTAGAGAGAGAGAAGTGGAAGATTTCCTAGCATGAGCTGATTTTTTGAGCCTGAACAGCATTGTTCTGAGCTGACGATCAACTAACTCTAGCTTTGGTCAAGGAGAGCCCCCAAATAAAGCTACACTACTCCCCCTGCTGCTGCCAAACTGCATGATATACTTAAAACTTGGACTAGCTGAATTACAACATTCAACACTGATGAAACAAGACTGAGAGCAACAAAGAACACTTAGAGGACAGACTATTTTTTTTCCTCTAAGTACTAATTTCACATGTATTTTAATATGAAAAATTACTTTTCTCAACTGTAAAAAAGTTAGTCTCAAATACAATGTCTCATCGGAACAACAGGAATGAAGTAAACGAAGGCTTCCTTCACTTAGGAGCATGACATCAGTTTGCTTTTGTTTTATTAGCAATAATTCATGCAGTATAAAAAGAAGTACTCCTACAGTCAGTAATGTTTATATAATTGAAGCTGCATGCCCTAGCTAGGGAAAAAAAAAAAAAAGAATTAATAGCTCAACATGCTAATATTATACAATCATTAAAAGATATTTTTGAATAAATAGAAAAAATATGAATGCTTTCCTGAATTGACAAGTAGTGTTAGAAACCTGTTGAACAAGAGATTCTTTAGAAGTAGTGAGAGACGAATTAAAAGAATAACTGATATTGATGTTTTGGAAACTGAATTAAAACCTATTCATCTCTTTCTCTTAGGATGTTCAATACATAGGATATATTACCATGTATTTTTGCACCATTACCAGTCAGTCAGTCAACACCCTTACTGTCCATACTTCTTAATAAGGCAAAATGTTAACATTTCAAAGATATCACCCCAGATGGACTTTATCAGTATAGCATGAGGAATTTAGCACTGTATCAGAAAGAAATGCGTAAGAAAGTTCAAGGCATAATAGTTTTGTTCTTATCAAGGTATCTTCCAGCTTCCCCTCTGTGGTTACAGGCCAGGTGTGAGTACGAACAACGACCCTCCCATAACACTCTCAACTACCTGCACAACACTCCTCCACCATTCAAGATCACAGCAGTAGCTCTGTAAATAGAGGAGCATCAAAATTCTTCTTTTTTTTTCCCTCTCATTGCTTATATCTCGTGCTGTAAGGAACACATTAGTAGGCAAAAAGTTGAACATTCTAGAAAGCAACTTTTTACCTGAACTCCCAAGAATCTTATCCAAACTAATTCCTCGCTGCTTCTTGAAAGGTATCAGGCAACATCCACCATGTCAGAAAAAGCTTGTCCAAAAAAGAATTTTCTCCTGCCTCCAGTATGTACCTCGCTTACTACAGTATGAAGCTTTCTAACCTACATGGTATCGACAGGCCCAGCACACTAAACATGCTAATGCTAAGGCTCATCTCATTCTCTGAATTACAAACAGCAAGAAGGACCTCTGGGAAAATTTGCTGAGGTCATAGTGTTGTATTACAGCAATATATAAGATTACAAAAAATTAATTTAAAAATAACTCCAGGTGCCTTGCACTCAGTCACCTATAATCTCTTTCAACACATGTAAAGGTCCTCTAGCATTAGAAATATATTCTTTAACTAACTAAAGTTTGCAGTTTCAACCTAAGATATTCAAGCTGTTGTAACTCAGTATTGCAGATAGGCTCTGTAATCTGTACATCAAAATCTGACAGTTTACATGGCAAGGTGAATGCCTCCCATTTCACCATTTCATCACCTAGCATCTGTAATGATACACCCAGGAGCAACACCCCCCACCAATGCATTACTCTCTTTGTTACTGTTCATGATAAGGATGGATTTGTAGCACCACTGTCCACTACAACAAGCACAGGTATCACATAATAAGAAATACTGTTCTAAACGTCTAATGAGGAACTATGGGAGAGAAAGTACGTAATTTAGAAAATTAATTTTTTAAATTATCAGTGTTTCTGTAATTTAAAAAAGTAGCCGGAGTCCATGAATCATTTGAACGATCCCATATTTGTGAAAGTTTCTGTTTGGGCAGAACCTCCACACAGACATGACTAAAAGCTTGTAATTATTTTGATTGAATACTGTTTTGCCTTTTGATTGCTGCTTTAACCACCAGTAAAAATTCGAAGAGAAGTTATTTTATATTCGTGTTCACTGATGTCAAAGAATTTACCATTCATTTTACCGTTAACTGTAGTGACTGACTGAGATAATCCAAGGTGAGTTAATTCTGGTAACACTATTCTCATGCATTAGGAAAGAAAAAAACCAAACCCAAACCAATCCTACCAACACACACTCCCAGCAGTAAACTTAACCTACTTAAATACAGACCACTACTAGAGAATTATTTGTTACTATTTTATTTTCCTTCAAAGAATTTTTAGCTGTTCTGAATGTATAACGTTTCTGGCTGTTCAATACATTACTCCAAATGCTTTGGGCACCCCTTGTCAACAGCATCAAATCAAAATACCAAATCAGATGTTCTAAAACAAAAGAATAAGATCTTCCTTGAATCCCTCAGCCAATGTTCACAAGCCACCATGAAGCAGAAAATATTAGCAGAAGAGTGTTATAGTTAAATTGCAAAAAACCTCTGTGTTTGGGGAGGTGGAGAAGAAATCTCTCTCAAAAACCCAAACCCCAAATGAGTTACCCCTGGCTAGAAAAAATGCCCCACTACCTGCAGTTCTGGTGATGGCCTTTCCAGAGCAGCAAAACCTTGAAACAGCAATGGAATTTAGCCCAGTGTTCCTGAAGGAAAATAAGCTTGTCCTTTGGAATGAGCCCTCTGCATTGGCTGAAGATGTTATTATTTGTATTTGTTTAACAACACAACACCATGTTTTGCAAAATCATGACTTTCAAAAATATATTTACAAAGGAATAGCTTACCAGCTCTCTTAAACTATAGCAAGTAACTAAAGCATAAGGAACCCAGGGTGCTCCTGTCCACACCCCAGCAGGGAAATTAGACTGGACTAAGCTCTGCTGCCACAGCTAGATAGTTTCCAGTATCTGAGCTAGTTCATTTAAAGCTAGCTCAGCTACCTCTGTCTGAGCGATATTGCTGACAGCAGTA